TTCACGGGCCGTTAACATTAACATGATGTATGTACCTGCGCGCACACTCACAAACACAAACATATACACATACGCGCGCATTCCACACGTCCCTTATAAATCTACAATCGTATCAATACTTACAGCTATATCGGACGGTACGCTGACTCATATATCCTAAAAAGTTTCATGCATATCATACGTAAGGAATGGTACATCTGAAAACTTTGCGAGACACTATAGCGTGGTGAATCGCCATAATGCTCGCTTAAATTTCACAATTTCGGGTCCCAGTAATGGAATTTAACCGAGCAGAAAATACAGGGGGAAGCTATGTACTTGCTTCCAGGAATCGGCTCGAGCACAGCCTGACAAAGGCGGAGAATCGATAAAGTGAGCGGAAGCGGTATAGTCACAGTCCGCCAAGCATCAGGGATCAAGAAGCGGGATTTCATAGTGATGCCGCACGCGTCAAATATAAAGATGTGATGAAAAAAATTTCAATTTCAATCACTTTAACCTTACCTCCACAAATGTAGTGTCAGTGAATTTATGAGATTGTTCTAATTAAAATGAGCCCAAAAATGATTGAAATTGGACTAATTTTATCGACTTAATGTAATTAATGAAATTAAAGGTTCACCTGCGCCAAATCCATAAAACTAGACCGACTTACTTCGTGTTTGTACTCATTGTAATGAGAAGAATTTGAACATTCCACCGGTAATACAATTGAGAAGGTAATGTTAAAATTATTGCAATTGAAATGTTCTTCATTAAATGTTTATACTTAATGCACGCGGCATCTCTTTGACCTGTGTCTGCTTCTCTTCCCTTCATTGTATTCATTTTCTGTCACTGTCTACTGGGATCACGTTGCACTGAGCTCGAGACAGTGAGTAATGAGGGAAGAGTAGGGATGGTGCAGTGGAATTAATCCGAGCAGATTTCTGTGGAATTTAAGCGAGCATCACCGTATAGCAATATTGCAACAAACAACTTCTTAGAAATTCCGTATAAAAACAACGAAAATTCTATTATGATTTCTTAACATTACTGTTTGATTAAATTAAATTTGTCGCTGTTACGAATAATCTTGCATCCGCGAGCAGTTCGTATCGAAGCAAAGGGCTTTGATTGAACTGTTCGTATTATAATAAGTTATAATAAAATCGATGGTAATTTCGTTGTTCGGTGTCAGACGCGAAGAATTATCTTATCTGCAACTCTTTGAGAAAATTCTTGAGCCAAAGGAGAAACGTTTTTATTTACTATTCTCGATGAATTAAACTGTTGTCACTCCATTTCGTCATGGCTTTATATTCATCGAGATATCTGGATTCAAAGTACATACTACATATTTACAAACGTATTGATATTTGCCTTCAATTTCATTACGTGCATGTAAATATATAATGCTCAATGTTTAGTTTCATCGGTGTACAGTAGTTCACGGAGTAATTATACGAATGACAGCGTACTTCACTAATTTCGAAGATTTTTGTATATGTTGTAAAAATAAAAATTTGGTACTATTTTTTCCTATACATATGAACAATAAATATATAATTATAACAATGAGAATATATTATTATTAGTAGTAGAAATTGGATAAATTTTAACCATTACCTTAAAAAATAAATTGTATATAAAACTGTGCTGCCGTTGAAATAAAAATACAGCTATATATATAACTAACACTATTTTGATATACAAATAATTGTATTTTTTTATCACAAAATGATTGAAATATTTCCATTTTTTAAATAATAATAGTGGTGTACAATATTTAACTCTTAAAAGACACCGAACTAAATTTTAAGTGTGACCCGCACTAGATTTTGGATCACTTACCATCCAACAGCAGATTAATATGATGACTTTCTTTTAATTAAATCTAAACCCGAGTAGCAGTTATACATATTGGATATGTGCAACAATTTTTGCCGATTTAAAGAAAAGATCAAACAAACTTTTAAAAAGTGTTCTTGATTAAACATATCAACATTTGTTTGGAACTATAATATCCCTTGCCTCAGGGATTCTAAATATTGTTTACCTGATTTGATAAGAACTTTTAAAGATACAATACAAGTGAAATTATTCACAACGTTGACCGTGACAACGTATATTAAAATCAATAAAATCAATGAAATGTGCCCTCATCTGTATAATTACTGAATCCAGTTCATTGGGCTTCACAATAGGACCTCCAAAAAACAATAATCGAAAGATAATGAAGCCTTCATCGCAAGCATTAGTTCAATGAAGTTTTATATCTTTACAGTGTACCAGTGAGTAGTCCAATACTATTTTCACAGTACGAAAAGTAATTTAAACATGTAACATTTTTTCAAACGTTTAATAAATAAACATCGTGTAATCGAGGAACGCTGACAATGGAAAGACAGAAGCAAAAACGTAATTGCACAAAATGTGTTATCTAGATATGAAAATACGTAGAAACTTTCATATTCTTAATTATATTATTCTCCAGGAAATTGGAATGACTCGACAATTAATAGGTTTCTATCTAATAAGATATTCCCACTGATTTTAAATAATTTCATATTCCTCGATGAACAACGAATTTAGGTTCACTTTAGTGGCAAAAAATTCATTAAACTTTTACGAACATTTTATAAAAAATAGCGTAAAAGTTAGTTTCATCAGTGAACAATTAATTTCGGCTGAGTGGCTTATCACCTCCAGTGAACAACTGTAGATTATTTGTTATATCCGCGTGTTGAATATAGGAAGAAAATTAAGAACTGATGACTTTGCGGACATAGCTCGAGATAAAAGAAGCATATACTAATTCGTAGAATATTATACTATAGCTTGAACTACTTCTGGTGTTGCACTCAATTAATAATATTTGTTTCAATTATACAGGGTGGTTCTCGCGAATGGAACCAATTATATCTTCAAGGCGGTAAATAGTACACAAAATTTGTAAAAGAAGAAATTAAATGATATCAAAGGGTTTTCTTTCCTACAGATTGAATTTTATAAATAAATTTTTTAGTATATTCTTTTAGTACATTCTGTTAAATGCAACGGTGCACCTAAAGAGTGCAAATGCACTCTTTTGAAGGAATCATATATTCTTTCTATATAGAACGATTAATCATATAAATCTGCATAAAGAAGGGATCGAAGCTACAGTGCCAAAGGTAAGCAATTCGTGAGATATTTCATGCTTTATGTAAATTGTGGATCACAGAAGATTCAGGTCTGGGAAGAAATGTGTACAACCAACAATGAACAAATACGTTTTAGTATTAATATTCAGTGTGGCATGACAATTACTACACAATCACTATGACAATTTCTGCTATGAACTATGTACATACCTACGTTCGTATTAGATTGCTGCGCGAGTTCCGTGCATTTCAATGTATCGCCCATAAATTCGATTTTTGAAAATATTTTGTGATTACTTTAAACTATATATTTTCGATATCTATTTACGATAGTTTCTCACTTCTGCGGTAGTTATTATTTTAGTAGTATATTATTTTAGCGGTAGTATATTATTTTATAAAAATATTCAGACTTATTGTTAAGAAATAACTGTATTGCACTTTTTACTTCTTCGAAATTAAAAAAATGTTTTCCGTATAAATCGTTTTGAAATTCTCGGAAAAGTTGAATGTCTGTTAGTGCCAGATCTGAGGAATATGGTGTGTGTGGAATAAATTACTATTTTACTTTTGATATTTTGTTGTGCATTGTTATAGTCACGTGTGATCTTGCGTTATCGTGAAAATGTCTTAACATATTACCGGAAAATTTTTCGCTTTTCTAATTCTCGTTGCCAATGAAAATGAAGAAAATCTTAAGCTAATTGCCGTAAATTTCTAACATCAAAATAGGAACAAAAATGAAAAAATTTGTTTTGAAATATTAATCTAGTAACGATCTGCCGTTTGAAAGTGATTATATTTGAAAAGACGAGAATTCATATCAATGATGGCGAATGTGTTAAAACACTTGAATTGTAAATTCCAAGTTCAAAAATTAATGCGAATATTTTATATCAGTCTTCTTTAGATCCTAATACCACTGTTTATATTACTGTTTATATACTCGTCAAACGCAGTTAACTGGTTAAAGCTTCATAGAAGCGATACGAACGACAGATTGTTTCTACGAATGAGAAGGCGGACAAAACTTACGCAACAACCTAATATTTCTTTTTCGATAACATTTTAAATAAGAAAAGGTACCGACAACTTCTAAAATTTGTATTGCCTAATCTCATCCATACTGTTGTTTTTTTAAACGCAATTGGGTCTGAAATACTATCAACAGGGTGGTGTACTAGCGTGTAATGCATGCATCATTACAGATCATTTACAATGATGGTATTCTGAAAATTGGTTTGGAACATATTGTCCAAGACTCTAGCCATCAAGCCTAATTTAAATCTTCTTGATTTCATTTTACAAGATAAATTTCAATATAAAGGATATTAAATAAAGTAATCTAATAATAATAAAGTAACTAATATTAAAGATAAAGTGCAATCATCATCACTTATTTTAGTGGACGACTTAAAAGAACTAATTAGATTACACATTTTATCTCAACGTTTTGCTATCATTGCACTCGTCTTCATCAGGGGATCAAGGACACACCGATAATAAATTATATACCGTCCGTTGCAGTGAACTTGGTACTCGTGACGTTATTGGGGCAAGAGCTTCGCTCGGTAGGTCCACCTATTCTCTTTTGCGATTCCGAGAAATCTCTCACTTAGGTTCTCGACGTCACACTTCGCAAAACAGTAGGATCACCGTGTTTACAGGGGACCTACGAGTCTCTTGATTTACCGCGATTATATAAACGTTATTCTCGTTTCTATATGCAACTGGTGATGTACAGAAATATATATAGCATGTTAACACTAAAACCACCGAGCAGTTAAATTGATTTCTTGAAATTTTTCTATAGAAATTGTAACAGTGCATCTATTGAAACGTATTGCTAAATCAATTTCTTTAATAATTTCGCAGAGAAACATTTGTTACCTTTTTAATGATTGCAAAATGAAGAAATCAGGAATGGGTCATTTTAATCCGCCTTTTAGTATAGTTATATATTGATTTTGAAATTTTCCCTTTAAATATAAAACTAAATAATCATTGTGGAATGGGTTTTACTTTATTACTACAGATACCGCTTTAATCATGACATTTTTTTAAATATAAAAAGTTGAGAGCCAATAGAACGCTTTAAAAATTCGAAAAATGGAGTTAGTCGATTTGGCCAATGAGCGGTTTATACGTAATATATTATAACATTACATAGATCTATGTCACTGGTTTTCTGAAACGAAATTAGAAAAAGAACCAAAAATCTGTGTGGGCAAGATGTGTGGCTTTCGAGTCTGACCACTCAAACGAGAGTGCCAGGTTCCGTGCAACGGATGGTAGACTATATTACTTTAATACAAACAATGACCACCTTGAACTTGTCATGTAAAATATACACAAAGGAATTATAAAATATTTGCAGTGTAAAGGTGGATCATTTGTATATCTTCTTTAACCCTTTGAGTGCTATGGTCACATGTATGCATTTTCAGACGTTCCGCTGTGACAATTATAAGTGTACCATATTAATATACACGTTTCTTACTATTATTCAATTTGAAGCAACTAACGAATTAGAATTACAACCTATTCACACATTGTATGAATTAACATAATTTGTCGATCTTCGGCTGGAAGTATTCAGCACTCAAAGGGTTAATAAACCTCATAAAAAATTTGAAATATCTCACGAAGTGTTAATTTTTCTTACACTATACTCTAACAGTTTTTACGTAATTTGTTGTAACTAATCGATCAATACCAAAAAAGGTATATGATCCGATTAAAAGAAAGTGCATTTGCATTTTCCAAGTGTATCGTTGAATCTATAGAAAAAGGTAAACCTAAAAAAGTAGATGCCCTCATATCATTTAACTTCTTTCTCTACAACTACAATATTTTGTATTACTTACCGTTCTCGAGGTATGACCGAGATAAAATCCATACGAATTGCGAGAATCGCCTTTTATAATTCGAGTGATTGTTAATATTATGTTAATATTATGTGCCATTAAAGGTCTTTTTTTATGGTACAATACGAGTTGGCATAAGAGACTTGCCAAGAGCGTTGAGTTGCGCATCGAACACGAACTCGGTTTTCGTAATTAACGCGGTTTCATCTACAATTCCGTGGTAGTCTCCACTGGACTTTGTTCACCCAAGTACGTAAATCCCAGATGAGAGTAATCCTTTCTTTCTCTGAACGTCACGTTGTCGTTTGACGGACTTGGGCTGAGCAGATCACCGCCACGACTGTAGAGGGGGTTCAAGACTGGCGTGGTATCGTGATTATTTAATGTATTTGTATTACTAGCACTGTGATTCTTTCTGCCCAGGGTAGATCGTCGCAAAGAATGGATGTTCGTGTCTCCGTGCGTCCCAACTATGCTCGAAGCACGTGCCGTGGTTGCTGCTTCAGAACTCACCGGGCTCTGTTGACCTTAACAGATGATCAACACAGCTGTGAATCTTCATGACCAAAAACCATGATTTTCACAATCAAAATGAATAATTAATTTTATTAGGATAATAATTATTTTCTCAGCTAAAATGTTCTTGATTACAAATAATAATTAAGTATATGTGACTAAAAATATGTTTTGCTGCTGATAATTATTATTTATAAAAATTATCGGCAAGAGAAGTTTATTTCGGTCACCCGTAACAATTATGGATGAGAGAAATTGTCAAATATATTGTAGAATATAGTCAAATATAACTTCTCTCATCGGTACTTATTATAAGCGCCCGATATACGTTTCATTGATAACAGTTATCGGCAATGAAAAAAAAGTTTTACTATTTAACATTATTATTTGTAACAAAAACGTCTAGATTTTTAATTATGTAATTTTAGAAAAATTGTGTTTAGGGTTTGTGATTGATATACTCAACTTTAGAAATAAACGAATTTCAATTACTGATTTTCATAAAAATTTTTGCATTAATTGTTATTTTCAGTTGCTGTTAGTGATATTTCCGATTACTGAACTGTTTGCACACTTGTGAATATACCTTTTTCTCATTAACGATTCTCATTCACGATGCTTTAGCGAGACGCAGTGCTTAGAGTTTCAACGCGTAATGAATTTTATATATTTGTAATTAACATCTTTTTCAAGTGATCGTATCCATTAGTCCAATAAATTTCAACTTTTCCAATGTATTTCAACGTCTAATAAACGGTTCTTGCAGATTCTCACATGTTAACTACAAACCTACAACCGTTGTTTTCAAAGTCTCAGTTTTTAAAAATATAATTTCAAAGAAAAATTAAATTTTTAAATTGAGAAGTTATTTATACATTCATTATAAAAGCTATACAGATGTTTCCCGGAAAAACGATTGTACCATTGACTCAAAGAAAATAATGTACCTTTCTGCATTATTACAATTATTTAAATACGCTTAAACAATCTGTACAATGCCTAAGACACACGTAAAAGAATCAATTTTTTAAAATTCTTCGAGTTAATTTTGAGACCTAAAGGTCTTAAACAGTCGCTATTTAAGTATGATAGCACAGACATCGTTCGTATGGAAACGAACATTACAGGAAGCTGCAACGCAGAGTTTTTCTTCGACTGAGAAAATTAAGTATATAGTTATATACACAGGATACGAGATACTGTGACACAATCCAACGAGATACAGTAATTCTCAACAGTCATTATCGTTTGAAAATACTCTTACAATTATTGTACTGACATAAAAGAAAGTGCATTTGCATTTTTTAAGTTGAATTTATAAAAACAGGTAAACCTAAAAGTAATATTCTTCAGATGTTTCGTGCATGCAGTTGTATGACATTGCTTCTATGTTATATTTTCTGAAAAGTGTTTATGAATCAATATCTACCGACGTATTTAATATATTGTATTTTGTTTATTGTTCGGGAAATGATTTTGTTATTATGTTACATTCCTATTTTATATGCTTGGCAGTTTGTTTAAATTGCGTGTTGTGTTTTTAGTAAAAGTATAATTTATTAAAAAATCAACATATTTACTGTTTACGAATTATTGCATAATGAAATAAGAAGTTGAGAAATAATATTTTACAATTATATACATTTTAACGACGTTTATCTAGTACGTGAAATATATTTTATAGTATCTACTAATCTATTTTATAAAATATTTTACTTTTCACATAAACAGTAACACGAAGTAATAAATGAAACTTCGTGTATATATATATCAACATTTTGGATTTTAATATTTTATATTCCACAAACACTTCTTTATTGACATACTTTATATACTGAATGATTCTTGCAATTGAGACATATTAAATCTTAAAAATAGTACGAGACACAAAAAGTATGTAAAAGAAATTACCATACTATTTAACTTTATATAGAACATCTTTGTACCTCTTAACATTTTTAAGATATATCTCGCTCCAGTTATGAGAATCATCCTGTATAACGAGTTTCAGTGGCAATAATAGTCAACAAACTGATAAAACATAATATTATTTAAAAATATATAATCTACTGATTTTTTCCCTGATGAAATATATAATTTGCGCATAAATCATCTTATTGTTACTATAATAAAAGGTTATAATTACCTGTGCTTTCTCCGTGATCTTTGGTAATGTAACTCACATTGTCCAAGCTAAACGCGTGATTTTTGTTACTGAAATCAAGTTGTAGATCGTTATAGCTGTCGCTATCGTCTATAGGGACGCTCATTTGAAGCACCTGCGTCTCATATTCCTTCAAATTAGGTTCTACGTACACAGGGTCATAACGGGGTACCACGTACATACGCTGCATTCGTTCCTTGTACGCCTTGTATCTAGAAAAATAAGATCAATCGACATTATTTATACATTTGCATTTTACGTATAGCAATATGTATATACAGCGCAGTAATTTTACTTCTTAGGTCGAATGTTGGACACATTGCGACAAAATGATAAAAGATAATTTCATTGTTTTCATCATTGTTTTTGATATTGTAATATTTTCATTTAAAAACTTTAGTAATATACTGTTTTTTTTGTACGTCATTTATTTTCATTTGTTATTTGTATATTCTGTGCGAAGCAGTAAACAAACTTAAAATACATCAGTTATTTCGGCTGAAAGTGACGTATACAATTTCGACAGGCAAAAACTTTGGTGCACAGCGCTGCTACAGAATGTTCTCAGCGACGACCAAACCGGAAAACGTAATTTATTCTAATGGAAATAATAGAGACCAACAAATTTACATGTCACACGAAACCGCCGTTCGCCGAATGAATATTCGCATGAATACTTAAAACCATTTCTTTCACACGATGTTGACTATAATAGCTTTGCTGTTGTGATGAAGTGATTGTCAAAATAAAGTATAATGTAAAAAGTGTTGTAAGTTATTCTTATTTTCTGGGTAAAGAAAAAACAGCAATATATTATTGCAGGATATAATAAAGCATCTTTTCATGTATTTCCATTGGTTTTTAGTGGTGTTTATTATGTAACATTTACTTTTGGGCAAAGGACAGAGCCACAGGTATCAAACTGTTTTATTGTGTAATTATATCATCACTGAATTGTTCATTTTATTTTATATATATATGTGAAATTTGTAATGTTAAAAATTCAATTGAGACTAGAACTACTTATCGTTCCCGTTAAAATGACAGATTTCAATTTTTTTATTTTACAATTATTGATATTTCAAAAATATTAAATATAGGAAACGATTTTGAAAATAAAGATCTTTACTTGAATACAATAATGAACATTTGGAGGATCTGAAAACAATGTATTATTCTAATCTCTATAAGAATCACATATAAATCGTATTAAATGCTCGGTAGTTCTAGTGATAAGCATCCACAGTCTGGTTACTGCTATCTGTCCTGTTTTTTGTTTGAATAACTTCAGAGCAATATAAAATAAAATTCTACGTATAAAATGTATTTTAAAATTAAACATAATATTTTTTAAACTCCATTTTGACTTCCATATAAAATCAGTTTTGTAAATTATTTCTATGTATTGTAAAATCAGACAGTACAAGTAAAAATATTAGATCAAATAAAGAGACAGTTTTATAATAATAATAATACAAAATTTGTTTAAGCATTATAATCATAATAAAAAATTAGTTTAAGCATTCAGAAGCATAAAATAAATGTTACAATTCCACAAATTCAAATTATATTTCAGTTTTCCGTCTACAGATGTGACCTTCAAAGGACGCTTCAATGTCACCTCAAACAAATAACAGTGTGATATGTGGCACTCAATACTTTGTAACCTTTTTCTTAAACTTTTCTGTACATTACTCATACTTTACGAGAAAATTTAATTAATATTGCAAGACTGCGGCTCATATAAAAAATACCAATTACAGTTAGGAGTCCCAAGCGGATCGTATTTCTGTTAATTCATTCGTTCTGTCGCTTGAAACATGTTCGTTTTATCGTCTGACCGATCTTATGACCTCGCTATATTTTGGCGAGCACTGTATCAACGTTTCACCAACGTACGGTACAAATTAACTAAATACTACGACAAGCTACGAAAGTGTTAAAGGCAGAAGCAGTTGGAGTGAACTCTGCTGTCTAGCTAGCTAATTTGTCATCAGCGCACAGTAAATTAGGTTACTAACTTACCTGGACCAGGAGATGCATATGTAGATAATACCAGCAATACCCAGAATCAATATAACACATGCGATGATTATCAATGCATACGGGAAAACTTCGCCGCTAAATGCAATGGCTGTTTTTTGCGTGCGCACCAACTCAGGTGGCATTACTGGAGCGTGGATGTCGATCGCGTTCACTCGAACCCGCGTGGATACATCGTAAGTAATATTTGACATTGCTGGTTTTTCTGTAATTGATCTGAAATTCAATAAGAATTGGAATTAATTTTTAAAATAGTTCAAGATTATAACAGATAACGATCTTACTTGCGCTGGATGTATAATATTAAGCTACGATAAATGTTAAAATTTGGCCAATAAGGGGGAAATGTATGTGTTTTTCCAGTTTTCCGTTTTCACGATATTGTAATGGTTAAAATTAAATTATCTCCTAAATTAATTATTTTTCGATTTGAAAAGATTCACGATTTTTTTATAGGGAATATTCACTGTCAGGTAAAATAATTGACGAATAAAAATGATGTAGTTTGATTTAAAAAAACGAAGTTAATCTTGAAATATTCTTAACGACCACTGAGCTTGATAAAAAATAATTTACACCATAGGATATCCCCCTTCGAACCAAACAGATTCTGCTAAACAATTTTTCTGATAATTTTAAACCCTCATGAGATCTTTTACCACATCTAATTAAAAGAAACAGCCTGTGCAATTTTTCTATTACGGTTTCTGTCTCAAGAAAATTAAGTATGAAGAATCAAAATGTACATGTGTACTCGTCATAATTTCGATTTAATTGATCTCTTAATTTTTTTTTCAATTTATTTACCCTCAGGTTTTAAAATAAATTGAACAATATTCGAGAAAATTGGCATAGAATAAGTGTACTGTTTGCCTTAAAAATTGTGTAAACATGTTTAAATATTTATAATGTCATACTGTTAATTTATTTGTTAGAAATCGTTCTTTAAACTGTGGCGTTTTAAATCTGCGGTGGAAAAAGAACTGTTATATTAATCGTTTTATCAAATTTCATTTAACATCAATGTGCTGGTATCAAAATTTAATGTTTCTTGAAGAAAATATACAAATAAGAAGAGATTGCGACTGAAGGACCCATTAACAATAATACAAATACTAGTTAAACATGCTATTAATTTAAGTGCAGCCATTCTTCTAATGAGGCTCAGGGAAGCTAAAAGGTTGATCACTCTCGTGCCAGATCAATATCTGAAATTTTCGTATTTTGTATCTACAGTGATGCTCGCTTAAATTCCACAGTAATTATCTCGCCTCAACTCCACTGCACCATCCCTATTCTTCCCCCACTAATCACTGTTTCGAGCTCAGTGTAACGTGATCTCAGTAGACAGAGGCAGAAAATGAATATAATGAGGGGAAGAGAGACAGACGCGGGTCAAAGAGATGCCGCGCGCGTCAAGTATAAATATGCAATTAAGAAAATTTCAATTGCAATAATTTTAACCTTATCTTCTCAATCGTAGTACCAATGGAATGTTGAGATTCTTGTCATTAAAATAAGTCCAAACACGACGTAAATCGGTCTAGCTTTATCGATTTGGTGGAAACGAACCTTTAATTTCGTTAATTACATTAAGTGGGTAAAACTGTTTGGACGCAGTTTAATCGTAACAATTGCAGAAATTTACTGGCACTATATCCGAGCAGGCAAGGTTAAAATTACCGCAACTGAAAATTTTCTTTATTGCATGTTTATATTTGACACGTGCAGCATCGTTTTGAAGTCCCGCATTTCGACTACCGATGCTCGGAGTGTGTCTATCCCGCTCCCGCTCACTATATCGATTCCCTGCCTTTGCCAGGCTGTGCTCGAATCAATTTTTGAACGCAAATAACTTCCTTCTGTTTTTTCTGCTCGGTTAAATTCCACTGCTGAGATCCGAATTTGTGGAATTTAAGCGAGCATTACTGTATTATCAAAGACAGAATTCTTCTGAACATCTACGCATAAACTGGAAATTCTCTACCAACAGTAAACTTACCTCTGTATTCGTGTGCTATTTCTGTTTAAAATAACCTCGGTATCCGGATCAATTGCATAAAACCAGACATCGGAATCTTGAGGATACATTTCGATTGTCCCATTCTTTGTTAAATTCTTCCTCACCGCGACTCTATCAATGCCTATCAGAAGACCACTATTCTCTTCGATGATACCAGAGATCTTATCAGCTTCTTTTTGCAAAACATCGGGAGTTGCTTCTTGGACAACCAGAATCATTAAATTCTCCTCGCCAATTAGATTCACTATAACTGGAGCGACGATTGAATTAAAATTATCGGTGGAATTGGGATTGTCTCGGACGCGGACGTCGAATTTAAACGGAAGCTCCATTGAATCCACGTTATCGAACGTTGCCGTCGTTCTAATTATTCCGGAAGAACTATCCATGGCGAAGTAATTCGATCCTCGACCGCCAAGTATTTTGTACTCAAGCTTCCCGTACTTCCCGTTATCTTTATCATTCGCCTTCACTTGTATTACCGTAGATGCAAACTGTGCACTAAGCGGTATTGCAGCAAAATAACGTCCCCTGGTTAATATTTTATTGCTGTCTAGGAAAGTGAACTCTGGTTTATTGTCATTCACATCGAGGACTTGAACTTTTACCTGTAATTCAAAGAGACGGGAATTATTTTCTAAGATTGATTATATTTTTTTTGTAATAGGATTTTAACCTTTATCTGTCCCCTTTGTCAATTTGACATATTGTTTTGGTTCAAGATTATGTTACTTTATCATTTGTTAAAAGAGTGACTTAGACTTCAAAGTTTTTATTCTTTTAATACATTTACCATCGCTGACGTGAATTCACGTCTTTTAAAATTCTATTTTTGGTCTAATAATTTTCAAAATATTTTATACTTTTGTTTTTTTTCCATTTGCGACTTCTTAAAAGGAAAGTTCGTTATTTCAAACAACATATTGTTACAAGACTAATATTACAGAACAAATTTTCTAATTTATGTTCCTATTTTAACATCAGAAATTTGTGGTAACTATAAATAATTAATAATTTTCACCGGCAATGAGTATTAGAGAAGTGAAAAATTTGCCGTTCACGAATGTGTTAAAGTATATATTTATTATTGTTAATGACAAAACGCGCGACATATGGGTAAGATAACGTTTAATACAAAAAAGACTCTGATATATCAATCGTGGCTAATTTTATCGCTTCTCAATAATTGCATGATAGCCATGCATTCAACTAGACTAGAAAAAATAACCACACAGTACACGCAAAATTTTATGTTTCTCAAAATATGAAATATAAAAATAGTTTCTGAGCATAAAACATTAACATAAATTCTTCAAAAATGTATGAACAATAGAGTATAGCTACGGAAGGTGTCAAAAGACACCTGTTTCGCAATTTTGACTTAAAATTATTCCCCAAGCTTAGTCATATATTCTGAATTGACTACTCGACTTTTCCAATAACGATTTTAAAATTAACTATAGGAAATGTCCAAAATTCAATTGAGAAAAAATGATTAATCTGAGAAAATAATTTTGTTAAAATTTCAAAAGGTGTCTTTTAACATCTTAAGTAGAAATAGTGTTAAATTGGGGTTTTTATTCTTTATAACAATATAGAACAAAAAATATAGATTTCCATTTTTAAAGAATGGTAATAACGTTGAAGTCTTGTAGAACTGACCTTGAAAAAAATTCTTTTCATCACCATAAAACGTGTCGCTTAAAATACTATGACTATGATGCAAGAAATTTTTCCATAAAACTAAAAATAACGAAGGTATTTAGGTGTTCCTACTTAGAGGAGACATCGGATATAGCAATTTTATGAAGACATACCATTGTTGTGTTCCTGCCAGAATTCAACAGACCCGATAAAGACTCAAGCCTGATTTTGATTTGGTAGTATTCCGTCGTTTCATAGTCCAAAGTTGCTTTCTTCAACTTTAACGCACAATTCCGTTCCTCGGTGACGTTTGCCTCAAACAATCCATTTTCGTTGCCACTGTAGATTTCGCATTTCAACGGCGTGGGGTCATGAGCGTGGCTATTAATGATTGTGATTATCTTGATGAGTGTGTTATCGCCAGCGTCCTCGGGAACTTCAACGTTGTACGAGTTCTCTGCAAATCCTAAACCGATTTCTGGAGGTACCGTTGCAACGTGACGCACGTAAATTGGCACTGTTGTGACGGATGATAATTGCGGCTCTCCCATATCATATGCACGTATGTCGACCTAAAATATTTGTACCCAATTATTTCTGTATATTACAACTTTATAAAATATTACAAAAATAAATTAATTAATTAAATACTGTTATTGTTATTAATTAATAAGTATTATTTGTAGATGATTTAGATATTTTTTAATGTTGTGGTAATTGATTTTTGAATATACTGGATGATTCTGTTATTGTTATTAATTAATAAGTATTATTTGTAGATGATTTAGATATTTTTTAATGTTGTGGTAATCGATTTTTGAATATACTGGATGACTCGTAATGCATATACATATTTCAAAGGATGAATTCGTGTACTGAAATAAGTAGAAAACATTATATAAACATATATTCGACCTAGTTTTCTTCAGCTGTTTAATGTTGTGATAATTGATTTTCGAATATACAGGATAATTTATAATGTACGTTGTTAGATGAATGTGAATTAATATAACCAATGTAAAGTGTTACGAGTGAACTTGGCATGTGTGTGATTTGCGTGTGTTTTGTATTTTAATATATCAAATATTATTCTATCAATTTGATCTGTGGATTTTGTGTATGGTTTATTAAATGTCTTATAATACATATTACACTGCGTAATTCTGTCATATGTACATATTTCAAGTCATGAATCTGTGTAAAATATCTACAAAACGTGGTATAAATATATATTTTCCCTAGCTTTCGAGTTTTAGAGTTTGTGGATTTTCGAATTATGATTAATTAAAGAAAACGTTCGAAGTGTTCGCTTTACATCTTCTGTACTCTACGGAGCGCCTTGGCTTAGTCTAGTCTTTACCATCAACATCCATCGATATAAACGAAGAAAAATTTTAGGTAGTCAATATTGTATTCTTGTGCTTTTAGTGCTGTTCTAAAATTGCAAAAAATATGCACTATTTTTCCGCTTTAGCTGAAATGACCGACATGAGGTACAAAGCACGAAGCACATTCCCAAAACGAACATAAAAGTGTTTAAGAGTAGTAGTTAAAGCAAAACACTTTATGATCTCTCGATTATGGAACATAATATTTTTAAATGTTCTTTTAAATATCATTTATAATGTTAATAATGAATTATTTATTTATAATTTTGTTAATTAAAAATGTGGTTCAATACAATTTGAAGGAGTATTTGTTAAATTTGTAGCCTACATGACATTGTAAAACATATGAAAAAGAAAATTTTGTTTTGTATATAGCAGTACTGCATTAGAAAAAAACAAATTAATCTTTCTTTCTTTCGCCAACTAAACTCGAATTCATTAAATAAGATAAATTATTATTTAATTATATAACTATGCGTAAACAATCTACTTAAAATTACACGTATCGAAAATTCTATAAAATTTGCGTATAACAATACCTGATACTCGGTGTCAGTCTCTTTACGCAAATCATCCCTTACTCTCAATATGCCAGTATCCGGATCAATTACGAAATACTTGTTCGTTATTCCACGACCAATGATTTCATATCTCACCTGGTCAGAATAACAAGTTAGCAAAAATACATTTTCACATTTTAAAATTATTATTTATCGATTGAAAGTACATACTTGATTTCCGGGAGCAGTGCCATCAGAATCTGTTGCTGTCAAATTAATAACCGTCGTACCGATAGGTACGTCATCATCTAACGTAATCGGACGAGGAACTGACGTGAACACCGGTGGAATGTCATTAACGTCCTGTATAATACAAAATCTTAAGTATTGTTGATAAAATATAAATTTACTATACAATAGAATTTGAAACCATTGCTGCTTATGTTATTTCTTTTGATGATCCCAATTTAATTTCGAATCAAAATTTTAGAAAGAACATGTTCAACCCACTTGCATCAAATCAGGGAATGAAAAATATTTCAATATCATTATATGTTCGCTTTTTTATTATATTTGAATAATTAAAGAAATACGTAAATAAATCATAATATATAACCATAATAATATAGTAATATTGAATTAATTATTTATTGACAAACTAGTCTAAAAATGTATACGCTTATAATATATGTTAATGATGCAAATGAATTAAACAGTTATTTTAATAGCTTCAAATATCAAGTAATGATAAAATAATACGCGCTTCAAATTATGAAACAATCTTATTGATGACCTCTTTCTACTCTATATCAATTATTTCATTCAACATTTCATTTTTCGCTCAATTAAACGTAATTTGGTAAAATTAAAATTAAATATAATGACAGTTGTTTAGTTTTTCACGATTATAATCCTACTTTCAACATTGGAAATATTTAATAAAATTGTTTGAGCTGTTTCATTAATATTCACCATTTCAAAAAATGTTATTATTGTGATAAGAATAAATAAAATTCAACGTAAAGTAGAAGCATGTATTTAGTAAAAAGAAAAGTAATTTTTGAAATGAGATATATTTAAAAGTACCTGAACATTGACCACAATTCTAGTTGTAGAGCCTGGCAAGTCACTGGTGTTTTCTTCAGTACCAATTATGAGAATGTGTTGGTTCTCCCTCTCATAATCTAAACCTCTAATAGTTTTTATCACTCCAGTCTTTGGGTCTATGCTGAAGAGTTCAGTATCCCCTTGTTTAATCGTGTATGTAATTTGCTTCTTTGTATCCGGATCATCGGCCTGGAATTAAATACATTTACTTTAAATTCCAGAAGGTTGATCATTCATACATAATTTTCAATGTAAGGTAATTCGGGGAGAAATAGCCCACTTGTTTAACACTAGACCTACCATACCAGTCACAATGACTGGCTTCGGTTTTCTTGTTTCGCAATTATTGATATCTCAAAAACTGAATATCTCAAATAATTTCGAAAATAAATAGTTTCCTTTCAATACTACAATGAGAGTTCGAAAAAACTAAAAATAATTTATTGTTACAATTTTTATAGGGATTACATATCAATCATATTAAATGCTCGGTAGTTCTAGTGTTGAATACAATTGTTACATCGTAAATATTATTGATATTTAATGAAAAGAAAATATATTTATAAAAGTAGACGCATATAAAAAGAATAGTTAAATCGGCCTTTGTGCAAGATTCAATATAATAAAAAAAAATAATTGAAAATATAGATATTTGACAATGTAAATGAAATCGGGCTATCTCATATGGAATTATCTTATCAAGGTATACCAAAATTTTATAATGCAAGATATAATTAGTTTTATGTAATATTTTTCCTCAATCTACTATTTACTTCAGCTCTGATATTTATTTACTTTTTTAATTGAAAATCTTACTATTATCAATGTTAATGTTTTAAATAATTAGTAAATTATTAATACATTCTAATAGTCGTTCTTCAGTTACTACTACATTTTTTTCGATACGAAAGTTAATATAATTTAGAATTAGAATTCATTTTACTAAACTATACAAAACTGATTAATTTACATTTCATCGATGGTTTCACGGAATATTTTATATAAACAATAGTAAAATTGAATAATTCAACTTACCATCACCTGTGTGACCGTGTAATCGAGTACATTTTCTTTAACTCGAGCTTCGTAGCTGCTTTGACGAAAAATAGGAACTTCATCTTCTACATCTATAACTTTCACCGTCACAGTGGCGGTGGCCAGACGAGAATCTGGAGCTCCGTCTCTCGCAGTGACAACAAATTTATATTCCTGTAAATAGAATATAATATTGATTTTATAATATTACGTGTCAGTCACCAAATACGTTGGAAAATTAAAATATTCATAATTAAACATTTTTATATTTTTACTGTATAAAATGATTAAACAACGTCAGAAGGAATCCTGTTAAAATATGTTATAAAATTTATGAAATACTGTGGACTTTATTAATATTACTTTTTCGAACGTATGTTGTTTAATTAAATAAAGTATAGAGAAATTAATGATGGTGAGAATTAATTTTCCACAATCTAAAGTTTGTGTAAATTTTAACTGAGTTCAAGTTACATAGTTACACTCGTAACTGCGGAAGGAAAACCATAACCGCGAATCATAGTTAAATTACTCTTCATAATTGCGTTTAATTGCTAGAAACTGGATATTCAATTTACCTTTGATTATGAAAGTTTTAATTAGGATCATTTTCGTTTTAATTTTAATAGTTTGTATAACTGAAGAGCATTATATTAACATTAGATTTACGGAACCCGCCAGTGTGACAGATATTAAATTTTATAACCATTATTTAGTAATAATCTAAGCTGATTTTAACTGATACAATTATGTGAATATGTATTCTAATTGTCCGTGTTTGAAGTTCTAACTTCCAAAATCTATACAAACACATTTGTCTAGAAACAATACAGTGAAACGTACAATAAACATTCGTAAATCTAGTGTTAATCAATAATGATACACTTTTTCGAAGTTTGGAAAATGCACGAACTCGAATGCACAAGACCAGATGTATGAAAGTACCTAAGTCACCATATTATTCTAATGTTATACACATAGAATTTTATAACATCTCGTAAAAAATCCATGTTGACGAATAAACGCTCATCAAATTCCAATTTTGATAGTCCTATGAATATCTATGTTTCGTCTAACCTGAGAGAAAGAGTTGTCATTAAACTGCGGATGTTTATGCAAATGCATATTTTTATAGAAAATACTTGTCTCATCGTTAGAAAATTTCAAAAATGAGTTTTATATTTTACATATTTTGCATCTTTCGTACGTTTAACGCATTTTTTTTATAAGAACATATGTAGAAACACATTGCGTATATCACATACTTTTCTGACAATTTCTTTTCGTACAATTGATGACTCTCAGGCTTTCGAATATTATCTGTTTAAATGTGTTGGTTAAGTGATCATTCATCATGTGTAACTGCCATGTGTATTTAGCTTTCATTAAAAAGATGACAATATATACACATATACGCATCATGTTTACTCATAATAGCTTGCTGATCGGTACATAGATGCTGTGTATAAATTCAGTCAAATATTGTGAAGCATTAACAGTAGATAGATACATACGAGATGCCTAAAATAAGAAACAGTAGACGTAGAAAAATACAAAATTGGATCGAGTCAATAATAAAAAAAGTTTTGTGAGTGATGGAGAAGGTGTCCAAATATGTGATAACAAAGTCGTGTCAAAGTGGAATGCAGTTTTAACAAGAAATCCCGGTTTTCAAACAATTTTATGAATTAGCGAAATGTTGTAAAATCAGGTAATTAAAGAACTGAATGAGATTAAACCATGCTACTGGAACAAATTTAAAAATGCCTCGATCACATTTTTTGACGAACGTTCGTTTTCAGCTTATAAGTTCACCTTAAGCGAGAAACATCATCAATTAACACTTGACAACCTCGACAAAATACTCGTCACTTATAGTAATTTAAATTATAATTGTTAGTTACTATGTTTGAATAATAAAATTATTATTGCATATTTTCAACACATGCAACATACATTTGTATATTATTGTATATGTTGACATATTATTAATGCATATTTAACATATGTTACTTGCATATTCTGTTACATTTTAGTGGCATAAACATCCGCAGTCTACTTATCACAGAGAAAAATAAAATTTTAGTTCGATGATTCTATTTACCTGAATTCGGTGTTCGATAAAAAGTAAATGAAAACGTAACAGTGAACAAATCACTTACATCATTTTGTTCGTAGTCTAAAACAATTTTCGTCAGAATGTCTCCGGTTTCGGGATCCACAGTGAAAGGAATATCGTCTGGTGCGAAATATGTAATCTCAGCATTAATGCCTTCATCGGCGTCTTCAGCGTGCACACGGCCAATCAATTTCCGAGCTTCTCCCTCTTTTACAGTGAACTCGTAAGGTAGATCCACAAATTCTGGATTTTTATCGTTGATGTCTGTCACTTTAATGTTCACCGTGGCGGAGCTGAACAGGCCACCGGAATCCTCAGCTTTTATCAGCTGTTGAAAGAAATTGCATTTGAATAATGTGTTTTAACTCACTAGATAGCAATTAGAAAAATATCAATTATATTTTTGTATACTCTGGTAGATAGGAAAATAAAAGAGGTAAAAAAATAGTATGTATATGGAAATGGTTTCGTATGTTATAAAACACATTGCCCGAAATATATTGAAAATACTTTATATGACCTGTCATGTTTTCTTTTTTTCGTAATTCCAATTTATAGTTTGAGTTTTGTATGAGGTTTTCTATGAAGTTATATGTATAATTGCGTTAATATACAGAGGTATAAAAATAAGATTGTTAAATGTAGATATGAATGTGGTATAGAAGGGTAAGTAGAAATATCAGATCTTTTTTTGTATATGAAGTTTTATTTTATGACCGCAAGACTATTATTATTAAAATTATTATCAGTATTAAAATTATTAATATTAGTATTAAAATTATTCAATAAATAGATAAATATTTTCTCGTATCCAAATGGCGAACAGAAATTTTATGAGGATACTTAAAAATTTTCGTCAAAAACTCACCAGTTGGTAACGAGTTAAATCTTCTCTATCCAAATTCCTTTTAACAGTAATCACTCCCGATTTGTCGCCGATCGCGAATTGACGAAGGTCATTCCCAGAAACGATGGAATACGATACAGGATCGTTTTCTGGATCAACTGCCTGTTGAATCATATGGATAATATTGATCTGGTTAGAAAACTTTTACAGAAACTATATTTGTTAGTTGCTAAGTAAAACAAATTAATGCTCTTAATTTTGTGCAAAACTAGTTTTGATTAAGATAACTTTATTGTTATTATTTTCAGATAGAATATATATATATATATATATAATTATTTGTATAATTATATATACAAATAATTATTTGTTCTAGTTTACATGTTTATTTGTTAATTATGTGGTCGATGCTTATAAGTACAGTTGTCAATGCAATAAATATGAAATCAATAATATAAATATTACTATATTTCTGAATATATTTTTACTGACTCGACAAATAAAGTTGGATGATATTGATCTCATACTCTCTTTTGCTTTTAAATTTCGTATTTTAATTACATAAATTTACAGGAAGATGAAATATGAAATCTAAGCATGTAGGAGATAGCGAACAAATATTTTAATAAAACATATGATGTTCTTCCACGTCTATAAAATTGTAAAATAAAATTTTCAAAATTGAAAATTTAAATTCAAAATTTTGAAAAGTTTTATTCTGTAATTTTATAGACATAAAAGAACAATGTATTTTTTGTTGAACCTTTTTTCGATATATCTTATTGTTCTGAAGATAATCTACAGGAACTGTAAATTTGCATTTTTTAAAGGAATAATTTCATCCCTTCCAAGAGAAATTCGTTTCGAAAATAATTGTAATGTATTAGTCTTGACTTAATTTTTTTGATTTCCAAGTTCGATACCTTTTCTTGTTAGTCAAGGAATTACGAACACTATTGCATCTATATTTAAAATTGCATCGCTTTACAATGAATCATGAAATTTGACAATAATAGAACTAGAAATACTTACGGTAATTGTAGCAACTGTTGAATTGATCGAAGCTCCTTCGCTAACCTGGACCTCGTACACTGATTGTTGAAATACGGGACTTTTGGTATTGGGACCGGGGATTACATTCACCTCGACGATGGTTTGAGAATATTTTCCACCCTTGTCCGTGGCTTGCACTGTAATACTGTACTGTTCTCCTGCATTCAGTTTTCTTACTGATTCGATCACACCAGTCTCTGGATCGATTTTAAATTTGTGTAGACCGTTGTTCGAAACATGATAAATACTGTACGTTATTTCAGCATTCTCCCCTTTGTCGTTATCTGTTGCTTCAACCTGATGAGTATAAATGTATTTAAACACATTGTTGATAAAATATAAAATTTCCTGGAATAGTTCAGCACATATTTATAATAGGAGTGCATGCTTTGATGACCTTAACCTCGACAGATGTTATCTTGACATAGATACTGTCACAAATAACTTTCAAGAAATTTTAATCGTCATTGATTATACTTTAAATGTGGCCCTGAAATATAAATAAATATGCTTACAAACTTCCTAGTTTCTAAATTTATTTCTTTTTAATTTAATCGTAATTTAAAAGTCATGGGAAAACATTTCAAAACATTCGTTTGGGAAATATAGTACTTTTAACGATCTATGACTTTTTTAAAGGATAATGAACGACGTAATGGCTGAAACCTCATTCCTTTTGTGATCCAAAGAGGACCATTGACAACATATGTCAAGGTCATTGGCTTATGCTGCTGTATTGTAAGTATTTACCAAGAATTTAGTATTTTTATGAATAGCTAAAGAAAATAGAAATTTCATGTTTTAAATACAAGTATCTTATATCTCGTCTATTACTGCGTGTGAATAGGAATTCAACAATATGTAGAATACAAATAAATATATATTCAACTATGTTTTTGCACGATAGATACTTTCCAAATAAAAAATATGCTGCATCTATAAGATCAGAAATTGATTCCAAACCTAAGGAATCAGCAAAATAATTGATTTTAAATATGAATGAATAAATGAATCTAAATCAAATCAAGTTATGTGAAAAGAAATTAATTTTGTTCTAATTTGTGTTAAATCGAATAAATCGTTCAAAAGGAGAAAATTAATTCACGTAAACTCAAAATCGTTTAAAAAGAGAATTAAGTGCACAGAAATTTTTATCGATAATTAAGATACATATGTTATCACTTCTACTAAATTCATTGATAACGTATTATTTTTTCAAAACATTAAGAGGCACATAAAA